CTTTAAATACCATCTCTGTGGACTTCCCAGCTCTGTGTTTGCAGCCCACACCTCCCTCTTCCTGGAAGCTGTCTCTTAATTGCCTGCTCAACATCTCCATTTAGATATCCAGAGGACTCTTAAAGTTTACACATGTAAAACTGATTTCTTGGTTCCACTTCCCCAAGCCTACCCCTCCCCTAGTATTTCCTATACTGGTAAGGGCTAACTTCCTTCATCTGGTTATTTAAACCACAAATCTTGGAGTCATCCTTGACTTTTCTCTTCCTCTCTCCAACTATATCCAATCCGTTGGCATGTTCTGTTGGGGCTCCCTTCAAATTATATTTCCAGTCTCACCACTTCTCACCATCACTGGCCTCCTCCAAGACCCATCCTCTCTGAGTGGACTATTGCAGTAGCCTCATCACTGGTTTCTCCACCTCCACCTTGTCCCCTCTACTACACCCAAGGTGATCCTTTTAAAATGCCAAGTCACAGGGGCCGGCCTGGTGGCATAGCAGTTAAGTTCAGATGCTCCACTTCGGCGGCCCAGGATTCACTGGTTTGGATCCTGGGTGCACACCACTCATCAAGCATGCTGAGGCAGCATCCCACATTGAGCAACTAGAAGGGTGTACGACTATGACATATAACTATCTACTGGGCCCTTGGGGAGGGGAAAAAAAAAAAGGAAAAAAAGAGGAAGATTGGCAACAGACGTTAGCTCAGGGCCAGTCTTCCTCAAAAAAAGAATAAAGCAAGATGCTCATTTAAAAAATAAATAAAATGCCAAGTCATTTTTCTTCTTGGAACCTTTTAACAGCACATCATCTTTCTTAGAAGAAAATGTGCCATCCTAATAAAAGCCATATGTGACTTACTGCCACCACCACCAGTACACACACACACACACGCGCGCGCACACACACACACACACACACACACTACCCCTCCCCTGCTTCCTGGCCCCTTGTTCCCTTCCCTTGGTCTGGTTCTCTGATCCTCCCCCCCCCGGACATGCTCTGTCCTGAAAGCCTCTGTGTCTGAAAGCCTCTGTGTTCACGCTTCTCCCTGCCTGAAATGCGCCTCCTCAGGTGCTCATATAGCTCATCCTCCACTCAGGTCTCTGGGTAAAGCTCACCTTCTTGCCTACCACAGCGTTCTCTGACCGGCATATGTAAAACACCACGTCCATGACCCTTTAGAGGTTTATTTCTCTTTATAACATTACCACTTGACACATTATTTGTTTGTTTCTTTCTTTTCTCCCCCATGAGATGGAGGCTCCATGAGAGCAGGGATGTTTTCTGTGGGTCCACATCTTTTTCCACAAGGGTGTCAAGCAATGCTACATACAGAGTTCAGTGTTGCCTGATTAGATGATTCTGCTGGACTCTGCTCAGTTATCAATTCCATTCCTCTTTAGGGCAGAAGTTCATTAACTCTTCTGGGAAGCTTGCCTAAATGCATATGCCTTGACCCCACCCCCTAGAGATCCAAATGCAGTAGATTCTGGGGTAGAATCCAGAACATTTTTGAACAAGCTCCCCAGGAGATTTTGATGCCTGGATAACCAGACACACTTTGCCAAACGCTGCCTCAGTGTATAGTTTACACTGGTTTATCTGTTGCTCTGTTCTGTTGAGTGTTGTTTCATTTATATCAGCAGTTCTTGAATCACCTGGGAACCTAAAATAGCTCTCCTAGCCCCACCCCAAATCTTGTGAATCAGAACTTCCAGGGGTGGGTGCTGGAAATCTATATTTTTGAAAAGCTCCCTTGGTGCCTTTGATACAGCCAGACTTCCCACTAGCCTTTGGGAGCCCCAGCTGTGTTTTACAGACTCCTTGAGGAGATTGTAAACTCAAGAGCAGGTGTTTTTTTAGGCCAGCTTCTCTCCCCTTCCTTCTTTAATCCAACAGTGTTCTGTTCAAAATCGTGTTCAGCAAGTTACTGTGGAGTGAACGCCTTGATTTATCCACAACTTCAACTTGCCTTTGTAACTTGAACATCAACCAGTACTTCTAACTATAGTTCACTCCAGCCCATTCTCTGATTAGAGACAGGAAATGTGTCATGGTTGCCTACCTCATTCTGGTGGCTACTCTTTTTGCAGTCCTTGCTATCCAGAGTTTAAAATGTTTCCCGGGTCAGACCAGACAGCACTGGGGTAATGTCCTTCATCATCATACTCAGACACTCAACCTGTTTAACCTTCCCCTTGGACCTGTACTCGGGCACATGTGCTTTGGCTGTTCTCAACCTCAGGATGCGTCCACTAGTTTCCAGAGCATCCCCAGGGCAAGAGACAAAGCCTGACCCCTTGCTCTGGGAGCCTGCCTGGGCTGCTCAAGCTGCCGAGGAGGGTTTCCCTAGATTAGACTTCTTCTGGGGCCAGTGGCCTTGTCCTACTTCTGTTTGGTTTTGTCCTGGAACTGTATATAGACACTCTTCACCAGTTGAAAGTTTTAAAACTAAAATACTCAAAGTATTACCAAAAATAAAAAACTAAATGGGGGGGTGGGCAGGGGGGACAGGGCAGGTGACCAGGGAATGACATTTGCAGAATTTTATTCCTTGGCCAGACTCAGAGCTAGCTTTCAGGTTATGAAGCATCATAGATGGAGGCTCAAAGAAATCCTCTTGGTTAGCCTGTTTCTTAAATACCTGAGTCCCCATGGGGTGCTCACTCTGGACTTTGGATGGCCAACTGGTACCCTTTTTGAATATGTTGGGTCTGTCTGTATTCTTTGCAGAAGATGTCAGGGTCATTATTCAGCATAGAATCTAAAAAGGAGTAGTGTCATGTCATCCAGGTCAGCCTGAGAGACACTTGAAACCTTCTCAGCACATGCTGTCTGCACCTTGGCATTTTGCCTCTGGATAAGCCGCAGATTGTGTTTTGGTGCCAGATGTGAGAAGCCATTGGTAATCAGGACAACTCCCTTGGGAAATCCTGTTCCCAGGTGATAGCTGCTTCCTCTGAAATACTTGTTCAGGGGGCACCGGAGGCTGCGATTTAGCGACAAAGGGGAGTGAATTGACCCTATAAAAGTAAGAATGAGAGATTTCTAATGAGATCTGACAGTTTGAGGGCTGAAGAAGGAGTCGAATCTTTTTTTCCCCCTGCCCACCCAGTCTTCATACAAGTGTAAATATGCCTCCTTCAGCAAATTGCCAAATGTGGTTTTAATTTGTAAGCGGGAGACCCCGCCTTGCCTTTTTCATTTCTTCTCTTCTTTTTTTTTTTTTTGAAAACGAAGTCACAGGTTTTGCACTTTTGAGCTGGACGTTTCCTTCTGTCACTCCATCACTTTTTCTGTTGTCCTACTTCATCCAAGGACATTTTCCCCCATTGTTTGTTATCAGAGGAATTTGGGACGAGAGTCAATTGTCCTGTTTCTTAAAGAAGTTCTTGAAGTTCCCATAGGAAATGCATAGTGCTCTTTAAGTTTTAAAAATAAATAAGTAAAGGCAGTGGTTGAATCTAACATGAGATTTGAAGGGTGTCACTAGTGCGGCATCATACTTTATGTGGTCTCCGCAGTATCCATTGTTGTTATTTATGACCCTGTCTGCCTTCCATTGTGGACTTCTTCCAGCCTTGGGGAATTTACATCATTCCTAATAGCAAAAGGCTTTCTGGTTCCCACAGAGTTGTTCAAAGCCTGACTCATGCTCCTTATGTTAATTGTTCAGCTCTGAAAATACAGCACTTACAGGGTGTGGTTGTAAGGGGAAAATCTACTGTACTTACAGGGCATGTTTAGAAGTGTTTCACATATAAATCTCAATCTCTCTCTCTCTCTCTCATTTAACCTTTAAAATGTAGCTCTTGTTGATCAGCTAGTAAGTCTTCGGGGGAAAAAACAGAGAGGCACCAAAACGCAATATAATCCAATAAAACCTATAATATTCTGTTCACTAACTCTTAAAACTGACTTGGGTTATAACTGAATATGACTTTGAGTGACATTGGTCCAGGTGTGACACCACAGGCAGAGTTAGCCAGAGCTAAAGGCTGGTACTCAGTGGTGCAGCGCAGTAATTGGACAAAGCTCACAATGTGGACCCATGGGACACCACGTGTCATACTGATGGCTGCCATCAGCCAGGCTTTCTGGGGCTGTCATTGTTAATTCCAGTGTAAGTCTAAAGCAAGGACCTATTGATAATTTACCCAAACTGTTCCTTGTGGCAGCAAGGTTTTACTATGGACTTTGATAGAGAAGGGTACTTAGTGTCCAGGAAATGAGAGAAGTTAACACCTTGCCTGGATTATCTGCTTACTAACAAAAAGCAAATGATTCCAAAAGTTTGAAGTCGGTCAATGTTGGTGAAAGTTGGGAGGTTTTTACATTTTATAATTACTTCCTGATGAAGCTTCCATGGGAACATATAGATACATAGGTAGATAATCTATGAATTATATACAACCATAGTAATGCTCTTAGTTTAAGAAAAACTTCCAGTTTTTTAGTAGCCAAGAATCACAAACTTCAGTTTTCAAAGTATGTATTAAAAGCCTTAACTCTTGATGCAGTCTTGAGTATTCAAAGGCCATATTTTGTATTTTTGTAAATAGAGAAAATGTAGAGAATGCTTAGGATAATCAGGGTATAGACCACTGCACCACCAGGTCCTTCTGGAAGATCAAAGCTCACAGACACGCTGCTGCCTGGCACCATGATTCTGCGCTTCGTCACAGTTTGGGCCACAGAGATACCAAATATTAGCCAAGAGTTCCCAGATGATTTGGAACCAACATCCTTTCCGTTACAGTCTTGTATGTTTGTGGCGCATATTAATGTATGGGATGTGTGAGCAAGGAATCTAAAAGAAGTGACAATTTATCAAAAAGTTCTAGATTTGAAAAAATTAAAATAGCCTAATACTAAGCAGTTTTATCTAGTCTTCACAGAAATGAATCTGTTCGCCGGGGCATTCAGAGTATAACTGTTTTTTCTCACGCTCAGCTAGTCGATTTCTGGTTGAACCCTTGTTATCTCTTCACGTAGACGGAACGAGCTCTCCACGGAGCGTCTGATTATTTTGCTGAGTGTGTGGAGAGTCCACTTCCTCCCAGCGCAAAGCTCAAGAGAAACGCTCTGAAAGAAATGTAGGTCCGATGTGTCTCCTTCTTCTCATTTTTGACTGTCTGTCTGTATGGTCACATACCATGAAGTCTAGAATTCAGCAGGAGTGCATGGAACCTAATCACAAACCCCCTCGGGCCCTGACCCTGTGCTAAGGTCATACTTGCTCCTCCACCTCCCCGACTCTCTTTCTCTTGCTTTCTGGACAATGGGGAGCGAGTCCTTGCTTCACAGGTATGTTGCAAGGAGTAATTAATTACAAGTGCTTTGAAGATGAAAAGCACCTGTTGGTGTGTTTCGTACAACTTCTGGAGTGACTACAGACCGATCTAAAAAAAGGCATTCCTTTCCTAAGATGCTTGTTCTGACCCTAATATAATTATGATAATCCTTGTGCCCCTGATGGCAATAGTAAGAACATGAATATATATATATTTGTTTCCAGACTGAAGCTCAGCCAAAATAAATATTTCGGCTTCAGTGTTTTGAGTTTGGTGGTTTAAGAAATTTCTTGCCATTCACAAGCCTATAAACATATGCTGAAGTCAAAGTCTAGTCTCTAAATTCTCCCTATGCAGCTTCTCTCCTGCCCCTTAAAGTAAATTTTACAGAGTGAAGTTTGCATTGTCTGTTGTGTGTGCTGTAGAAAAGGGGTTTGTGTGTGTGTGTGTGTGTACAAGAATATGCTTGTACACACACACACACACACACAGCTTGTGCTTTGGATGTATTTGAGCATTTACTTCTGGGAAAAAATCAATATATCAAATGTAGATAATATTGACCCTTAACATCTGAAATACCTATCAGCCTTAGTTAAAATATAAACTCCATCATAATTGTCATCGATAACCCAATGATCAATAAACAAAGTGTATCCTAGTGTATTAGAAAATGTGAAGGCTATTGCTTGATCCAGTCTGCATTTAAACATACACTTGGGGATTTTTCTAGATTTGCCAAGGAGGTAGGGAGAAGGGAGGGTAGCACATTCTCCTTTTTTTTTTTTTTTTTTTAATAATTTTTTTTATTTTTTTCCCCCAAAGCCCCAGTAGATAGTTGTATGTCATAGCTGCACATTCTTCTAGTTGCTGTATGTGGGCCGCGGCCTCAGCATGGCCGGAGAAGCGGTGCGTCGGTGCGCGCCCGGGATCCGAACCCGGGCCGCCAGCAGCGGAGCGCACGCGCCCAACCGCCAAGCCACGGGGCCGGCCCAACACATTCTCCTTTTTAAGGTGTAGGAAATGTGGGAAGGGAAATTTGGAGGAAACCATGTCAAAACGAAAAATCTTTCTTTGTTTTAGTGTGAAAAGAACTGAAACAAAAAGCAGCGTCATGAGCAAATCACGGAGCAGCAGGGACTTCGTGGGAACGTCTAGTGACTCAGTGATTGCAGAGATAGCAAGGAGGAGGGGTGACAGTCAGGCTTCTTCCAGTCCCCCGTCGGAGTCCACGGGACAAGAAAAGGATTACATAAAGGCAGCTGAGAGCCACTGGGGTCTTCCTATTCAAAAGCTGGAAAGTGTTCATCAGACCCAGCCAGAAGACACTAGCAGCCAGCAAAAACCTCATCCTGGGGAGCGGTCGGAGACAGGCCTTCTAAGCAGGAACGCTGCCTGTAGCTGTGAGTCAGCATCACCAGGTCCAAGACAGGGTCCACGAGGGGCCGGCACACAGCAGAAACGTAGGAACTGCAGCTCTCCGGAAGACTTCAACCACCACAAGAGAGTTGCTCTTGCAAGTGATCCATTAGTCTCAAGAGAAATAATAGTGGAGAGAGGCAAAGCTGTCAGGGTCTTGCCAACTTTAGAGCTGTCAGATCCAGGGTTACTTCTGAAACAAGATCTGGCAAAACCCACATCTAACGAAGAGTTGCATGTTTTGGAAAATCTCTCCTCCAGACATTTTATGAAAAATAAACCAGAGCAGGCACAGCAAACCGGCTCAGCCACAAGCACTGGAAGGTTACCTACAGTTCAGGGCAGCCCAACCAAGAAAACAAAGAAACGAAAGAGGCCACTAACTTACTAAAGAGGATTGCAGAATTGTAGTTGAGGAGATAGTGGCCAAACTTGTGAAAAATGAGCAGTGTGTATAGATGCTGTGATTTTAAAGGAATTAGGATGATCATTTTAAATAGAAAATATACATCCACGTTAGGGTTAGCTTTCAAAGCAGTCACCTCCAGGAGCCAAATGCTTGTCCTAACAACATTGCTACTTTCTTGTCATATTTTATAACTGTCTTCAGAAAATTATGTTAGTGATAAACAGCCATCCGCCTTGTCAGGGATGACAGCATTCCTGCAAGAACTACATGATGAAACCATTCATGTGCCTCCTTGGCACATCACTGTACAGACCATGCGATGACCTCATAGAGACATTGTCACAGTGCTGCTGTTCAGTTCTGGGGGTACAATTTATCCCCCTACTCTTCAGCCTGAGTAGCACAGCAGTGAAGGAGTAGGCTAATGGGTCTCACCATCTGGTCCAGGCACCAGCTTCGTTGTCTGAAAACATGTTAGAAATGCAGATCTCGAGCCCCACCCCAGGCCTACTGAACGAGAAGCTGTGGGTGATTCCCGAAACATGCTCAAGTTCGAGAATCACTAGACTAATTAGAGACTCCCTAGTGTTTATTTCCTCTAGCCTGGCTACCATGGGCAGCCTGCAGCTCATCAGCTGGGGCCCACGTGTGGACATGCACACCATCATGCTCCCTCAAACTTGTAAAGCACCTGGGTTCAGTGTATGAGTCACTGTGTTCCCAGGTTCTTAAGTATGGCAGCCACAGCACTTAGAGAGCTGTTACTTACCCTAAGAATTGCAGAACATTTACATATAATTCAGCCCAGCGTTAGGGGAAGACATAGAAGAGGCTTGTTCTTGCTTGTAGCTCAGGCATATTCCTGCCCTTTTCCCCACCTCTGATTTTTTTTTTTTAAAGATTTTATTTATTCATTTTTTCCCCCCAAAGCCCCAGTAGATAGTTGTATGTCATAGGTTCACATCCTTCTAGTTGCTGTACGTGGGACTCGGTCTCGCGTTGGACGGAGAAGTGGTGCCTCGGGGCGCGCCCGGGATCCGAACCCGGGCCGCCAGCATCAGAGCGCACGCACTTAACCGCTAAGCCACGGAGCCGGCCCTCCCCACCTCTGATTTTGGTTAGGTTCAGAACAGACCAGAACCCAAGGGGAACTCAGTGGCCAAAATTTCCAGTTTCCTATTTGAAGGCTTCACAGGCAGTTTAAATTTGAAAACAGGAGCTTTCCGTTCACAGTATCACCCACTGATGTCTCCAGTGGGCCTGCTGAAATGTCACATAGTGAATCATAGCAATGACTTATTTTGGATGGACACCTACTAAAGATTTTCTTAACCTAGTTTCATTCTAAAATAGGGAAAAAACCATATTCAGAGGCCACCCATCAAATATATCTTTTTTTCTGCTCAACATTGGGTGGTCCATTAAAGTAGCACCTCCCTAGTAACAAGGAAAATCAAGTATATTCCCAAAAGTGTTGGAGTTAGTAGAAAAATAACCCAGAGAAAGCCCAATGAAATAAAAAAAGATGGAAACAGAGGATAGGTTCATGCTTAGGACTAATTAGTGGTTTCTTCCAGCTCATTCTGTCCTTCCCCATGTCTCCTTTCCCCGCTCGTACTATGAGGTAAGAGTCATTAAGAGGCAACCATATTTCTACCATTTTGGGTCATAAAGTTCAGTCTTGGTCACCATGCCTGGCCATGGATGTAGATGCTATTCCTTTCATGTTCCAAACTCTGCCTGGAAACCTGTCCCCTTTCTGTGGTTCTAGCCTCACCACTCCCACCAGGAACATGGCCCTGCCCACTGCTGTCCTTTCCTCTTTCCTCCTAGCTTTTTTCCTGACCGTAGATGATTCCAATCAAAGGATTCTATAGGAGAAGAGGGAGTCCAACAGAACACTGACCTCAGTGGAGCAGATCCTGCTCATACAGTAGGGGTGGACTGCACAGAATGGAAACCTCCCAAGAGAGTGATAGAACATCAATTCCCCTGGTCCATCATGGCCCCCTCTCTTAGAGTGACCAGTATCCTAGATGTGCTCTTCACTGAAGACAGGACCACAGTGTGTCATTGAATCTTCTTAAACAGAAACAATTATTGGAACAGTTTAAACAGAGAGGACAAAAATAATAACCCAGGTGATAGGCCAAGAAACAATAAACTCTCTGGAAAGAGTCTAGAATAAAAAAGACAGCTATTCCAGAACAATAGCTGCTGCCTGCCCCAGAACTAGAAGGAGATGTTTGAACTGGAGACACCAGAGAAAGTTTTTAATTGAGAAGTTTTTATTTCATTAGTTAACCTGGACTTGGTGGTTAAAGCCAATTCTTGTACTTTGAATGATTTTCTTTCAAGAAAAGTCTTGGCTTTCAAGTTTGGGATATTTGTGGAAATAACAATTACTGTGATCTAAGAGGGAAAAGAGCATCTTTCGTTGTAGATTGATAGGGTCTTTCTCACAGCCGGCGTGTACATGGGATTTTAACAGGATTAACGGAGGGAATAGCTCTCCGCTTCCACACTATGGCGTGTGTTTGAGGAATTTTGCTTTAAGCATTTTCCTTCCACATGTCTGAAACACCCCTGGATCTCTTGTTACTTGAGTGGTTGTGTGATGCTTTAGATATTTGGAAGTACAAAGGGGAAAATGGCTGCCAGCATTTTTTGTTGCTTATTAGGTGGGAAATGAAGAGTTCTTTGCTGCTGGAAGGGGTATGTGTTTTGATATTCTTAATAATTCAATATTCTCAAATCTGAGACACTGTCAGTCAAAAAGAATAAGTTCTTCAGTCACTTACTTAATAACCCAAATTAAATGTATACTCAAGTCCATGTAACTCTGATGCTTGAAGAAATGTAGCTCTAATTCGATTAATGTTATAACTTTCAACTCCCTAACTTTCTCAGTGTCATGGCTTCTGAGTCACCTCCATGTGCTTTCAAATGACTTTTTAATAGATTGGTGTTTTTTTTTTTTTTTTTTAATGTCTGTAAACAACAAATGTCTGAGAAAAATCAGTGTGATTTTTCTTACATATTTTTCTTTTCTTTGCCACTGGAGGTTAACTGTCATCCAGATACACAAATAAATTGTTAAATGCAAAGGAGCAAATGTGTGGGGAGAGAGGAGTGAGTACTACAGCTTTTTTGTTCATTTATTTTATATTAAAAAAGCAGGAAAATGTATTTTGTTTTATAAAAATCATAAAAATCCTCTGTATTTTGATTTATGGAGAATATAGTTTCTGTCTGCACAAGATATCTATCTCAAGATGTATCTTGGGGAGAACAATAGGATCACAGTTAATTTGCTTTTGGTGTCCTGTTTGGATTTTAGCATGAATTATTGTGCATATCGGTGGCCTTTGATTTCAGAAAGAGCTTGATGAGGACAGAGCGCATAAGGGAAGGAAACCTCTGTGCCCAAAAGAATGGCCGGGGGTCACAGTGTCGCCATTCCCAGTTTCCTTCCATTTCTTCTTGACAGGCCCCACTGTAATATTTCCACAAAGTTCAAGTGAGTGGTCCTCCTTTTGAGGTAACAAGTGGTTTTCCTAAGAGCCACAGATTCTCCATTCATCATGCTATGACTTGAATATGGAAATCATTTTCATTTCTTCTTTTCTTTTTGAGGAAATTTCCATTCTTGGTTTGTCAAGACAAAAGAGTTCATCCCTTGTTATTGAAACACTAATGAATTGGAACACGTTGGAGCAAGTAAAAAATCAAAATTAAGCTGATTTCTGTTAAGTAGTTTAAAGCCTTCCTTTAGTACAAAATGAAGTTAATTCAGATAATTACTCAGGACAGAAGTCTAACCATATATATCGCTGGTATTACGATTTAATGATATAATTAAATTCTCAGAAATCTGCAGAACTCCCTCTAATTTGGTTTCCATATTTATTTAACAAGACAAAGAACAAATATATGTCAATGTGTAGCTTAACAGAGGGGACTCGAGTGGATCAAATTATTGCCTTTAATTGTCGAGAACTGTTTGGTACTGGGCTTGAATTTAATCACATTCGAGTAAGTTTTATTGTGCCCCGTAATATTACCATGTGTTACCTTATAATTGCCATTACAGTTACTTATCAAAAATCTTGATTCTTTAATTAAACAAAAATCAATAAAACCATACATTTGATCCCAAAGGATCTGATTAGGTGACTGAAGGTGTGGATTTGACAGATCCCCAGGATAACTTTCTTCAGTCAAGTTAGAAAGCCAAATACTGCAGTAATCACTGGGAGAGCTCTTTTGCCCATTGGCTTTGTCCTCTCATTTGTTTTGTTAAAACTATTTAAATAGTTGTACATACCTAGGGGATGAAAGTAGTATGTAGTGGAAATGAAACTTTTATGAATAAAAAGTAAAATTGTTTTAAAAAATTAAATTGGTGTGTATCCCTTTTCTTCAGAACAAGTGAATTAACCCCAAAGACTACATCCAAAATGCCCTTTTCTGAACATACTATTTAAAATTATATTCTATTTGTTAGAGACTTTTTTCCTCCTTGAAGCAATTGTGAGGTTTTAAACACTGTGTTAAAATACGGTCATGCATTGCTTAACGACACAGATACGTTCTAAGAAACGCAGTTAGGCATTTCATCGTTGTGCGAACATCACAGAGTGAACTTACACAAATGTAGATGGTACAGCCTACTACACACCTAGGCTATATGGTACTAACCTTAGTATGTGGTCCGTCGTTGATGGAAACATCGTTATCCAGCTCATGACTGTAATCAAAGGAGCTCTGCTTTTGAACCATTGGTCCTAAAGATTTAGCTTTGGAAAACCCTGTGTGAGATGTTGTGATTAAATTGGGCTGTAAGATTCTGGGGTGGTCTTTACAATGCAGATGTGTTCCCATTTCTGCTCTCAATTGTGAGCTAAGATAGACTCCTCTTGTGAGAGGTTAAAGTATGTGACCTTGACTCCTTTCCAGAGAATCTTGACATCTCCCAAATGGATTCATTTCCATTTTCTAAGTGTATCTAGTCCTTATTCAGCACTGAATCAAGTCCTGGGCCCACATTTTCTCTACACTGCCTTTTATGACTGGATCCCAGGCCTCTCTGGTTGCTTATAAGTATAGTTACTCTTGGATCCTGTACATAATTTTTCAGAAGCATTTCAATATCAGGTTGGAATAATATGTTTGAAAAGCTGTTCATGAAATGCTGAGGACCACTGCAATCGGTGAAGCAAAGCTCATTTCTTCTTAGTGTTTGGGTCATGGCGGA